AAGAGGTCGATTCTGGAATCTGCAAAGCTCAGAGACTTTTGAGTGACATTGTTGGAATTTCTGTGTGGTGAGCACCATGTCTTTTACTCCTGTGGTGGACCAGGATGAAGTGGAAGAGAATTTTGACTAGGAAACACAGAGACAGAGCCAATTCAGATCAGCTGCCGAACGAACCATAGTTGGAAGTGAAAATTGTATTTGCAATCAAAGCTCTTGGTGACAGATACATGGGTAAACACAAACAAACAAGCCCCTTTAAAATGGCTTGTAGTTCATCCGAGTTTTATGATTACTAGAAACTTTTGGAGCCATCCAAGATAAATTTCTTATTGTAAAGTCAAGCATCCACTTGCTCCTTGGTCACAGAAGCAGAACTGAAACCCAGACCTCAGGTGAAAGGTTACAGAACAACTGATGAGTATTTTTGTTGGTTTTACTAGCCAGATTTTTTAATGGACAGATGTTGGCCATCGACTGAGGGAAGTCAGGATCCCATCCCTGAGGTCGGGACCCTCGGGGCAGGGCAATGGAGGACCCTTTAAAAACGCTCCTGGACCTGTGCAGATGTAGTTTAAGTGGTAGATGTGCTCGCTCGTGCTAGCCTGGGAACCTACGTAGGGGACAGAACTGATTTAATTTAGCTCCTTCCTATCAATTCAACCTTCATCCAAATTGTCAGGGGAAGCAAAGGCTCTAGTTTTCCTTCCCCAGGATCTGAAGGCAAATTGTAGTGCTACCAACTCTGGATACTCTGTCAGTACTGTGTTCAGAATCAACCAGCACACAGCAAATATTTCCCTGATTATATTCTTGCATACACAGCCCTCCAGCGTCAATCAAGTACAGATCAAAATACCAAGAGCAGGAAGTATAGCTCATTGGAACAGTGCTTGCCTCGCACATGTGAAGGCCTGGGTTCAATTTCCGAAAGGGGAGAAAATACATAAACTGGAACACATGACAAGCCCTTGCTTGTCATTATTCTCTAAACAATATAATCTGACAATTCTTTCCATAGCATTTACACTGTATTAGAAATTATAGATGATCTAGAGACACCTTCAGTCTATAAGAGGTTGCACATAAGTTGTATGCAAATTCTTCACCTTTTTATATAATAGACCTGAGCATCTGAAAAGTTTGTTATCTAGGTGGGGAGTCTAGGAAATGATTCCATGGTGATATCAAAGGACAACTCTATAACGGGTCCTTAAATTTTTAGTGTCACTGACTACATTGAAAGTCTAATGAAAATTATAGATCTTTTCCCCAGAAAAATATCCCAATAGATTGTACACGTACAATTTTGTATATAATTGTGTTCATGGACATGTCTGCCGTCTCTCTGGCCCTGGGGAAAGGAATTAAAAATGGATCAGTGCTTTGAGCAGAATGGAGAACCCAGCTGAAGTTAAAGACCATCAAGAGGTAGTGTGTGCATTTTCCTGTGTGCATTCCGTGAGTACAGCGGGGATAGAAGAAGATGACTGATGTAGAGCTGCCTGTGTGTGTGTGTGTGTGTGTGTGTGTGTGTGTGTGTGTGCGTAAACTGTGGGTGCTGTTAGGAATGTACTTGAAATAAGTGATTAAGGATGGGGACCAGAAGGGTAGACAAGGAACTCAGAGCGGGTGGAAAGGCTCGGGAGAGGGAGGCTGCAGGACTGGAGCACTGCTGTGTGAAGAGAGGTTCAGGGTGTGGGTCCCTCGTGGAGTCTAGAATGTCAACAGTCATTTATGAACATGGAAGCTGAGGGGAGGGGTGTGGTGGATGAATGATGAAGTCATAAATTCACTTGGACCAGAATCTTTTCTGGCTTTGGAGGAGAAAAGCAATCTGTCTGAGGCTGATTCTTACTTGGAAACCTCTCAGTTACTCTGAGGCTGTAACTTTCTGTTCCACCTTGTGTCTTTGCTTTTTCTCCCACACTTTCTTGGGTGTCAGACCTACCTGCTGGGTTTAGGTCCCCTTACAGCTGGGGGATCCTTGCCCCAGCTCAGCGCGGAATAGGTGGCTCTAAAAGGACTTTGGCACATGCTTTTGTCCGTGGTCCTCGTATGGGGCTCAGTAAGTGATCCCCCAAAGTACGGCAGTTGGGTGTGCTGAGTACTTTGAACTAAAGGACACTGGAAGGACGTGGTAGTAGCCTTTGAAGCAAAGTTTCTCTCCTAGAAAGCAGAATTCCTCTTTGCTAGGATGAGTCATAGAAGCTAGAACCTTTCTTCCCCAAATCAATCCACAGAACCTACAAATCTCAGCCTCATCTTTCTTCTTTCTTCCTTGCAGACTCATGTTCTGCAGAGGTTATATGCTGTGCTACACAGAGAAGCCAGGAACAGTCTCTGCACACAGAACCTGAACCCCCTTGGCCATGGCTGCCAGATCAGACCCCCTAGTCTGATCCCATTCTAGGCAGCTTTCATTGAACCCAAGCATTTAAACAGACAGCTTTCACCGGGGGCTTTGGGTGTTCATATTTGAAAGCTTCCATGTCACACAAAGCTTTGATGAAATAAGTGTGTTCAGCCTTGCTCTTGTTAACCTGCCTTTTATTACAGGAGCGTGGGCTGTGACCCTCGTGATGGGTGAGGGGAGGGCATGGCACCTCTCCGCCCCTGCACTAGCTCTCATCTGTGGTAGTTTGGTGACAACTGACTCAGCTGGGTCCCTTCCTGACCTGGTGCCTGTCATATCAAACTGCTCTATTACCCAGGTTTCTTCCCACTCAACTCCTCTCTTATCCAACACTCGTGGTTATAAAATGTCCCTTTCTGGGTGTGGGGGCTTCTGGCTGTAATCCTAGCAATCTGGGAGGTTGAGGCAGGAAGAGTGCAAATTCGAGCCCAGCCAGTGCGATTCAGTGACTTAGTGAGACTATCTCAAAAGAAAGAAAGAAAGAAAGAAAAAAGTGGTGGGTGAGATGGAGAGGGTATGTAGCTCAGTGTGAAGGCCCCAGCTATTTCGTAGTAAAAAGTCCTTGTGGGATTTACTTGAGGCAACTTTTAATTTAATTGTTTTATATCCACTTTCCTGTAGATCGTACAAAACACCCTAAGGATCCTATTGAGCAGAGTTTCAAGGGAGTGAAATAAAAAGATAAATCAGGAGTAGAGGTGCATACCTGTAATCCAGCACTGTGTGAGGCTGAGGCTGCGGCAGGAGAATCCATGTCTATTTGAGCTCTATCTAGGAACTTAGTCACTTAGCAAGACTCCGTTTCAAAATTTAAAAAAGAGAATTAGAGCTGGGTGTGTAGCTCAATTTGAAAGCCCTGAGTTTGATCCCTAGTAACACACACACACGTAAATAAGTTAGTTATATTTGTCATGTACTTTTCGATGTTAAAAATCAATACCTAAAGTTGTAAGCAAAACCAAGCCAAAATACAAACAACCTCCTCTCCAACAGTGGTCAAATAGAAACAAATAAACACACCTCTACAAGATTGAAATGATGAGGTGGAAACCATCAATTCATTTAGTTTTACAGTCTACTTTTTAATTCCTTGGAAGCCTGGTTTCTCTCTTTCGTCTAAGGAATTATAGGACAAAGCAGATTTAGGATTCCGTTATTTTTGCTGGGAGGCACACCTGGGTTTGTGACAGAAGAAGTGGAAATCCATTAATCAAAGGAACGTGCTTCTGATAACAAATGCCCCAGAGATGTGGATGGACTTGGACACTGATTCGTATCGTCCTGAATTTTCAACCGGGAAGAACAGAACGAACCATCCGGACCGCGCCTGGCCTGGCTCGGAAAGCGACAGAATCCCAAGTCTCCAGGCCAGATTTTCCCTCTAGCCATTCGCGGCCACGCAAAGCCAAGCCGAGAGCGCACAGAAAGAGGATGTCTTCATCGCTAGCCGGAATGGAACAAACCCGCCAGCTCCGGGAGCGCTGAGAGCCCAAGGGTCCCCCCGGCGCCGGCAGCCGTCGCCAACATGACTTGACTGCCCTCTCAGCCCATCTCCATCCCCAGCCCGCGCAGCCCCGCTCTCGGGGCGCCCCCACCCTTTCCGGGTGCGCGCGCAAGAGCGGGCCGGCGGGGGAGCTGCGCGCCAGGAGCTTGCAGGCGGCGGCGGCCAAGCCGCTCGCGCGGAGACCCGGTGGCCAGGGGCGGAGGAGGAGGTGGAGCAGCGGCCGCGCCCCGCCCTCCGTCGCCACCTGCGCGTCCCCTCCCGGCTCCCCAGCCTCCGGGCTGTGTGAGCTCTTGGTGCCGCAGCGACAGAGTCACTGCGTCCGCCGGTTTGGCGACACTCGGCGCTGGGCTCTGGGGGCGCGGGACGAGCGGTGGATACGCCCGCGCGCGTCGTTCCCGTTCGCGCTTATCCGCGACGATTTGGGGAAGGCAGGGATGGGTGGTGGCAATGGAAAACTGCTGTGACTTTTGAGGTCTGACTCCTCCTTCCGGCCAGCCTCGGGACGCGCCAGCTCGGAGACAGGCCCGAAAGCTCGCTGCGCGGCGTGGGGACTTGGAACGTGTCCGGGAGCCCGCAGCGCGGTGCGCGCTGGTGAGTTTGTCGGCGGGGTGGGGGCGGTGGAGAGGACACCTCGAGCCTGCCACCCTTGCATCCAGTGCTCCCCCACTTTGAGAGTAATTCAGACTTGAGCGTGGCTGCGAAGCGCTCTGCCCAGCGTGCGTGATGGAGCCGGCCGGTGAGCGGAACAAAGGCAAGCACCCCTAGGAGCGGGTTCTGGTCTGAAGAGCGGGCCGGGCCGGCCGGCCGAAGGGTGGTGACGGAGGGGCGCGATCCCCTGCACTGGGCATCTGCGCCTGGTACCTGCGCGCGCGGCTTCCAGAGCACACGGGCCGGTCCGCCCAAGGTCCAAGGCGAAGCCCTTACTGGCGCACAGCGGATACCCTCGGCCTTTCGCCACGACGCCTGAAAGGAAGGGGCTGCGTCTCGGCGGACGAGCACTTCTGCAGCCCCCAGGCTTCCACGTGAGCGTTTGCGCTCTTTCCCGGGCCACCCGGTCCTCCCAGCTGTCCCCGCTGCCCGAGCATCGCGCGGGGCGCCTGCAGCGGCGGGAATCGTCGCCCAACGTCAGGTGTCCGAGGCTCCCACGGCCTCCGGCTGCGCTGCGCCTCGCCGGAGTCTTAGGAGTCGCGGGTCCGGGGCCAGAACCGGCCAGATTGTTTGATGGCTTCACTGAGAAGAGTCAAAGTGCTGTTGGTGTTGAACTTGATCGCCGTGGCCGGCTTCGTGCTCTTTCTGGCCAAGTGCCGGCCCATCGCGGTGCGCAGCGGAGACGTCTTCCACGAGATCCGGCCGCGCGCCGAGGCGGCCAACCTCAGCGCGCACAGCGTCAGCCCCATCCAGGATGCGGTCCTGAAGCGCCTCTCGCTGCTCGAGGACATCGTCTACCGGCAGCTGAACGGTAGGGATGCGCGCTGGCGCTCCGGGGTCTCCTAGTGAGCGGGCGGGACGCGGGGTGAGCCCCGGGCACTCCCTCCGCACGCGGTGGGCGGCGCTGGGCAGTGCAGGGCTGGTGTCCTGACTTCCCCGCTCTTCCTCTTACCTTCCCTGCCAGAGGCGGGCAGGAGGCCCCGGCTGCTGGAAAGAAAACTACCTGTTTCTTTTCCCTGCCTCGGGCTCTAAGTTTGGTTTTACCCTGGAAATGTGTCTGTGTATTTGACTCTGGGTCCCAGCGAGCCAGGCAGGAAATTATTCCCAGTGGACTCCAGCCAGGAGGCAGAAACTAGAGGAATGACCAGGCGTGACTGCGTGACTGCGGGCCAAGGACTAGGGAGAACATGGGAGGTGGGAGATCGGTGGGTTTAAGTGTCTGCAGAGTCAGGACTCGGGTTCTGTACTGAGTGGGGTGAATGTGTTACCGGTCCGCGAGGGGCTGCACAGCTAATAACCCACACTTCCCATCCTGCTGTCTTGGTTGAGGCTGTTAAAACCCCACCCCTTTGTGACCTGGAGGTGCGGAGAGGCAATTGTGGAAGTTCCCAGAGAGCCGGAGAAACAGGTGTTCACAGAGTGTGGCAGGCAGAGGTGTGGCATCCAGCTAGGGACAGTTATCAGACTACCCCATCTAAGGTGTTCCCAGAGGTTTCGGGAAAGGAGACTTTTAATGTACTCTGGTTACAGCTGGTCCCGGGGCCACTCGCTGCCCCGCTGGCGTTACCTTCTTGAGTACAGGCAGCTGTGAAGGACCCACCGGGCTATATCCAAGGCAGATGCAGTGCTTAGGCAGAGGCTGCTCCTTTCCTTCCTGGGCTGCTAACTCATGTTCTTGCATGTTAGTTCCAGAACTGCAGATAATCATAAAGATAATGATAATAAATAACTTGGAATTCTTGCTGCGTGCCAGGTGCTGGGGGGAGGAATGACAATTGCATGATCTCAGAGATTGTTTGCAAAGAGGGTCCATCCCATCCCCATATGGAAAACGAGAAAACACTGCTGGAGGAGCTTAACTCAATTGCCTGCTGTCTTACCACTGGTAGGTAGCAGAGCTTGGGGTCAGAGTCCCCTGCCTGGTTGACCCCAGAGCTGTGTTCTTGGCCACGGAGTACAAACTTCTCTGTCGCTGGTCTCCTCCTAATTACGAGGTATATTAGGTTTGCTGAAAAAATATGTCGAGCTGCAATTACAACGGTGACCTGGGTACAGCTGGAGGCCAGACTTTGCTGTCTTCACCGTAGTGAGATTTGGAGACCAGCCTGGTGGCAGGTGGCAGGGGTCAGGGAGAGGACGATGCTAGACTGTTCTCTCACGGTCTCTTCTGAGTAATTCCAGGGGCCTTCGGTCAGGTCTCTGCACACACGGAGGGGCACAGTGGTCTTCTTCCCATCAGTAAGCACCCAGGGGCTGCCTTGAACTAGCATCTGCCGTGTGAAGCAGGTGATCTTGTCCCTGTCTCTCATGGGTAGTGTGGCCTGGCCATCAGGGCAGCCTGTGGAGGTCACACAGATGGTCTTCTCCTGAGTATCTAAGACCAAAGTGAGCAGAAGGTGACAGAACCCTGGAGGAATTACAGGCATATGAGAGTGGACCTTATCGTTCTGCAGAAACCCACCACAGACAGATCCAATGGACCTGAAGAATAGCTTGATGCCTATGGGTATTCAAGGACACAGACCATTTGGGGGTTTGTTTCCATTAGAAACATTACATGAACATTACAGTTCTACCTGGGATTTTCTCAGTACAGCAGGCAGGCAGGAACCCGTTCAGTCTCTGTGACGACCTATGAGACAGGTACTCTTACTGACTGACTGACTGCTCCTAGTCACCCAGCTAGTGAATGGCAGGGCTGGGAATTGACCCTAGGCCATCTGGCCCCGGTATGGGGCTCTGAGTCACTGTCCCCAACTGTAGCATGCATCAGAAATCAGCAGGGGGTCCTGTAAGACAGATTTCTGGACACACACCCCGGCAGGTCTGGAGTAGAGTGAGAACTGGCTTCTGACAAGCCTGGGGCTGGGATCTGTGTGCTTGACATTCTGCTGCCTGAACCAAGATGAGCAAGGCGTGTTCTCTTCAGAGCCAGCTGCCTGGAGGGACTTGTGAGAAGCAGAGACTGCTGCCCAAGGGCTGAGGGTCGGCTTGCTTTCTCTGTGACCATCTGCTGTGGAAACAGTTCCTAGACTGGTTGAATCAGAGGCTGTGGGGTGGGAAGGCTGAGATTCCTTATGGTACATGCTGAAGGAAGACTTGGCAAGAAGGCTCTGTTGAGAGCTTTTCTTAGGTGAGATAAGAGTTCAAGCTGGGACCTGACAGATGTTATCTTTCTGGCCACCTCGGTGTAGTTTGTTGAGACATGAAACCTGGAGGGCACGGGCAGAGTGGAGAAAGTCTGGAAATGGAGACACTCCCTTCCCTTTCTCCACCCACCCTCACCACTCCAGCCTTTGCCTGCTTTTGTTTTGGGGAGCATATGTCCCATCTGTTGTTGCCCGAAGCCTGCTGGGATATTTTTCTGCAATAGGGGGCTGGGGAGGAAGAAGAGGGCTCCCCTCCCAGGCCTGGCGAGAGGTACCTGCGCTTCGTGAGACCTGCACCTGTCTCCATCCATTGCTGCTGAAAGAGAAGGAAATCTGCTCTTCAGCCTGCCTTATTCCTCGGCAAGAACCAGGCATGGGGAATACAGGAGGGGATTAAAAATATATACTGTGAATATTTAAATAAAAATTTTAAAAATTATCAGAGTAAAAGACACATTACTACTAATCCATTAGGATACTGCCCCTCACTTTGAACACACAGAGCCTATCATGCTTGCTATTTTCTGAAGCAGTTCTGAAAGTCCCCTTCTGTGAGCGTCTTTACCAGGCATGATTAAAAAATATGGTGAATGCTGCTGCCGACTGCCATCCAGTGGAAAAGCAGGGTTGTAACGATCTGACAGTGTGTCCGCATCCATCTTATTCACCTGGGACCTGAAGTCAGAATGAACGTAAAAAGGAAATCTTTTAAATGGATTCAGGACCTCAAGGCAGCCACTACCGTGCAACCAGGGACCCTCATGAAAGAGCACTTCCAGAACTGCTACAGAAAGTGTCGAGCACAAAGGGATAAGTGTATTTGAAGCACAGGGGGAATATCCTGAGGCGAGTCAATGGTAATTTGACTGTGATATATTTTTTAAATATGAAGATTCACTATGATTTTTGATCCCACTAAGTACAGAATGAACTTGGGTCCAGCTCCTTGCATGCAAAGTAGAGCTGGCATTTAAAAATTTGGTAAGGTTTCTTAAATTTGTCCTGTGGACCCCTGGGCAGGTCCAGTGTGGGGGACTGCTGTAGGGCTCCATGTTCCCTGGCTGTTGAGCACAATCATCTTGGTACTGTCTCACTGATGGTAGTGTTTTTTTTTGGGTATCTGCGAGTGGCCATCCTGAGACTTCCCTGCTAAGGGCTGCTGCCATGGCCCTGAATCCTCCCTTTTGAAAGCAGCTACAAGTTTTTTTGCTTGGTGCAGCTGTGAAGGACCTTTTAAAGAGCAAGCAGAGATACTGGTGTGGAGAAATATATTGAGCTGAATTAGGTTTTTCTCTTCCAGAACTTCTTGTGGCTACTCTATCTTTCCATTAAGCCTCCTGCTGGTAACCTCCATCCCTGGACCATCGTGATACTGGCCTGTAACTGAGTGCTGGCTTCTGGTCTCCTCCATTCCACTGATCACGCAGTGTGTGGTTCCAGCTCTCTGAGTAGAAAGCAGCTACTTCCAGAGGCCCCAATCATTCAGTGGCTTCCTGTGTCCTAAGGGATCGTGGTCCAGCCTACAGGTCAGGGTCAGGGCTCTCCTCACCCTCTTCAGCAGGCATCTCCTGTGTTCTCACTTTTGCCCAGCTGGTGCCTTCGCCTCTTCCAGCCACACCCAGTGCTTGCTGAAATACCCTGCATCGGCCTCAGCTCCGTGAGCCTCCATTGCAGTCCAGTGTCTGAGAGGTGCTGGTTGTCCTGGTTTGCTCTGCTCTGTCCATCCCTTTCCCCATCCTGTCCATCCTGGCAGGCTTGGCACCAGGTCACCTCCTAGGGGTGGGGCTTATGGCAGGTCACTGGGCTGAGGCTTCGCTACCTCAGTTGTCAGTGACCCTCTGCAACCCTGGCCTGCACTTAGCTTTGTTTGTCTGTTTAGTGGTACTGGGCCTTCACACAGAGTTACATCCCCGGCCCTTTTTAAATGTTTTTATTTTGAGACAGTGCCTAATGAGGTTACTTGGTTGCCGGGGTTGGGCTTGAACTTTGAGGTCCTCCTGCTTCACCCTCCTAGAGGGCTGGATTACAGTCATGCACCACCAGGCCCTGCTGAGTTTATCTTTTTGAGTTCACAAATGGACTGTAGGCCTTTGAAGTGCTGGGACCTTATTAGAGACTTTTAAATCCGACCTCCATCCCTCAGCGTCTGCCATAGCACTTTGCACATAATGTCGACATTTAAAAGTTTATTGGTTGATTAATTGATGAGGCTCATTTTAGGAGGTGAATGACAGCCACCCAGGAAATAACTCAGGGCAGTAAAATCTCGGCTGGGTTGAGTGATGTGATGTGGGGAGGGGCTGGAAGCATTCACTGGGAAGCACGGGATGAGGAAGCTTGCTTTCTGTGCCCTCTTGCCTATGCCATCTTGAGGCTGATCTAGTCTTTGCCCTTCTGGCTGCAGGGAACCAGATCCTTCAAGGACCATGTGAAGTGAGCAGCCCACCAGGATAGGCGCCAGTGAGTGTGAGCATGTTACCTTCGAGTGTGTGATTTGGTGACGTGAATTTGGTTTTCTATCCTTCTTGATAACCTAAAATCAGTTCGTATTAATTATGGAAAATCTGGGAATTCTAGAAACCAGTTATCCAGAGCAAAGCAAAACCCTAAAAATACTGTTCAAACTGGTGCCAGCCTTACAGAGCCAGGCAGATTTTTATCG